AAATACACACACACACACAAATATTATATATTTGTGCAGACATGAACCAATTTTGAGAGGTGAGACATTAGGCTCTTTACTGTGATGGCCCACAGATACTTAGACCACAGACACCTTTGAAAATCTGATGAAAGCTATGAACCCACTCAACAGAAAAACATACATGTCATAAATCTATGTGCACACATGCTAGTTAACAGGTTCAGGGATTCATAAAGCTCAGTTTATGAGCTTAAGCTCAAGAGAGGTCAGGCTGCTGGGAACTTTCACTCTCTACTCTATGCCTTTCTGCAATTTTGAATTCCTTTTTTACTGTGAACATGCATTACATTTACAACTGGGAAAAAGCATCAGGTGTGTGTATATACTTATACAGTCGTCCCTCAGTATCCATGGGGATTGGTTCCAGGACAGCCACAGATACCAAAATCCATAGATGCTCAAGTCTGTGACATAAAATAGCTTAGTGTTTGCATATACCCTATACACATCCTCCTGTACACTTTAAATCATCTCTGGATTACTTACAATGCCTAATACAATGTAAATGCTATGTAAATAGTTGTTATACTGTATTGTTTAAGGAATAAGGACAAGGAAAAACGTCTGTCCATGTTTAGCACAGATGCAATTTTTTTTTTTCAAATATTTTCAATCTGCAATTGGTTGAATCCACAGATGCGGAGCCCACGGATACAAAGAGCCAACTGTATATCAATTATATTTCTATTCTGAATATAAAAGACAGACTCTTAGCTGTTCTAAATAAGAATTCATATAAAAATACCTACTAAAAAATTATTTCCTCTAAAGTACCCCAAATAACAGTTTTGTCAAAGGCAATTCGGGGTGCAAACTATGTGACAGTGTATATAATTATATATTTTATTACCTCAACTTCACAGTGAATTGTACCCCAGTCTTCAAAACCAGTGGCCTCTGAGGATGAGTTGGCATGCAAGGCTGTCTTTCTACCACAAAAGAGCTGTAAAGACCCAGCAAAGTGTAGTTAAATTAGCATTTCCATGAAGGTGAAGGCAGTAAAAAATGATTTTCCCTAGAAAGGAAACAGAGTTAAAAAGCACAACCTAAAAAATAGTTTGAAAGATTCTTACAAATTGAATGAACAAATTAATACTTTCTAGTTAGTAAAAAAAAAAAATCTCCAAATCTAATTTACACTCAACAGAAACAGAGTAACTGTAATGACCTGTGATACTATTCAACAATAAAAATCCTGAATTTGATTATGCTCATTTACAAATCTGCACTAAGAACCAAATTTGCCCTCAAAAATCCAAGTAAATGTCCTTAATTTTTTCAAAATTCAACAAACAAGCATTCTTATTTAGACATTAGCCACAGGGAACCAAGTACCTTTTTATTATGTCAAGTTAGCATAAAAAAAAATATTTAAAAAACCCTGCCATATGAACTCTACTCTTCCACTCAGTGACATTCATCTACCTACTAAGCATGTTTGGAACACCTACTGTTGACAACGCACTATGCTAGGCCCTGCGGGTGAGAAAGGGTGACAAAGACATGTCTTTGTCTTCCAGAATCTTCCAATCTTCAACAAAGATAACAGAAATACATAATCATATAATGTAAGGCGGAGTGGGAGAGGAAATACGCAAGTCTGGAAGGAAGATAAAATCTAGCTGGGAACTCTGGGAAGATGTCATAGTGAGATATGGGCTGAAACTTTCAGGATGATACAATTTTAAAGGAGTTACAAGAAAAGGTGGCTCTGAGGTACAGGAAATATCTTAGGAGAGGCACAGAGAAGTAAGTGTACAATGGGGCTAGGGAACAGCAAGAGGTCAAGTTTGCCAGGAAATGGGGTACGTGTGGACGCTAAGCGTGGAGGGGCCAGCCAGGTCCAGGCTGCAGAAGTAGGGCCACACATGTCCAGCTGACGGCTCCACATGGATTAGCAGGGGATGAACTCTGCTCTGGGACAGCACTGGGTCACAGGGTTTAGGGAGGAAGGGGCTGAGAAGGGGTTGGGAGGCTACTCTGTAAGAGTTCAGAAAAGAGGATCTGGGAGCCTGAATGGTGACGGGAAGGAGAGGACAAATATCATGAAGTTAGACACGCTACGTCTTGGCATAGACTGGCTGCTGGGGAAGGAGGAATAAAAAGTTACTACAGTTTCCAGCCTAGGTGGCCACAAGCATGAAGGGCCATTGGCATACACAAGGAATTCAGGAAGAATCAACTGGCACGAAAGAATTTATATAACCTATTAAATCCTCTAAATTATTGGAATTATCATAAAATGTTCCTCTGAATAAAATAATTGCAGAAGGTGCTAATAAATCTCCCTCAAGTTACCTCTGAATGAGCTGCTGGAAAAGGCTGAAGGTGCGATCCCATAACACTTGCTTGTTTTTTGTGATAGGGTCCTGTTCGTAGGTGAATTTCTGCTCCAATTCCTCCAGCTTTTTAAGCTGCTGACGAACCTGCTGCAGACTCTCCGCAACAACAGTGAACCTGGGAAGGTACAAGACACAGATGTCTCAACTAGAAACAGCCCCAAAGGAGCCAGGATTAAAGAGAAGCATGGAAAACAAAAAGCAGTCACAGGCAACACATGATGTTACCTACGTCGCTGCACAGTGCACTGCAGGGA